CCGCCCCCGGCGCCGCCGCCGCCGCCGCCGCCCGTCGCGCGGGGTCCTAAAGCCGCGCGACTCAAGAGGATGGTGCGCCTGGCCGCGGAACTGCTCCTGCTGCTGGGGCTGCTGCTGCTCACCCTGCACATCACCGTTCTGCGCGGATCCGGAGCCGCCGACCGGCCAGACGCGGCCGCGGGCAACGTCAGCGGGTCTCAGCTGCAGGTGAGTGCGCCGCCGGAGGGGGCGTGCGTGGTTGCGCGAAGCCGGGTGGCAGGCAAGGTACGTGCCAGGAGGCGGGTCCTCCGTTCTACCAAAGAGCGCTTGTGCCTAGGCGACCCTGCTAAGGCAGAAGCGCCTGGGCTATGTGATGAGGGGGTTGAGGCTACGTGTGGAGAACAGGCCTGCTGCAAGGTCTACTGCTCAGATCTGTCACAGGCCAGGCACCAGGAAGGGGTGTTAAGCTTGGGATGTGCAGGCCGGCTGGAGGATGCTTTTGCTTCTCAGTGCTTTCAGAGACTGAGTGACATGTCTGGAGGCAAGGAAGGATAGAGGTGAGGTGACAAGACACAAAGAGGCCTTATGAGATAAATCTCCAAAGTGTATTTAGGAGAAAGAACTCTAATGGGTGTGCAAGCTGTGTCAGAGGTCAAGGCATAATTTCTGGAGTAGTAGCCAGACACCCCAACCTTGTCTGTGTGATTCCTTCACCTTCTGTGCCCGTTTGTACCATGCAAAGGTCATAGTCAAGGCATCGGTGGAGATCTGGTCTGGAATTACTTGAGGCTTTTAAACTTGTAGCAGAGACTTCTTCCCAGTGACCACCCCCTTCGAAAGGTTTCTTTGGTAATAGGATTCCATTGATCCATTTCAGCTCCAAACAGGGGAAGAGCCGAGGCCTGAGGGCATATATTGGGCCTTGAGATGACAGATGAATTTTGCTGATTAAAGGTTGCCCGCATGGGCTTTTCTGCTACGGCTTTGGAAAGCCAGTCTCATGATTCGAGGGATATGACAGGTGCAAACCTGGAGAGCCAGTAGAAGTGAGCCAAGATTTTCCTTAAGACACAGCGAGGATTCTCCAGTCTCCAAAGAAATCAAGTCAGGCCTACTAAAACTATTCACTCTGCAATGTCGATATTTTTATATCTTTATGCCTTTTTTTTTTTTGCAAAAAAAAAGTTGTTGAGAGGAGCATTTATTTAAACAGCTCTATAGTATTTACTGTGCTACTATTTTAAGACTGTTACAGGATTTAGTTCATTTAATCTCATCATAACCCTCATTTCAAGATTGTTAATCTTTCTGCCTTGCAGATTATGAAATTAAAGTACAGAGAGATTAAGATAACCTCTTAATCTTAATGATTAAGATTAATCCCATAAAAGATTAAACTTGTTAGAATTCTCACATTCCCACCTGTTGGTTAAAAGCCCATTATCTGTCAGACTAAAGCAAGGTGACCCTTATAAATGCAATCCAGGCCTGCAAGAATACATGCCTCAAACTTAAATGTTCTCCAACCCTTCTAAAAACACTCTGATTTTGTAGGAGCCTCTCACATTACCCTTTGAGTAAACCTGTACAGTGACAGATATTTCCCCATGCCAAACACTGAAAGAGTAATTCTTAATATCGTCAAGACTTCTGGACATCGTAATGCTTCCTTTCCTCATGGACTCATGAAAAGCTGTAAAAATGATGTTCTATGGAAAAATACATTTGGCAGATTTCTTTATGAGGTGCTTGCTATCATTAGAATAATCTCCGGTTGGCCTTTTCCACCCCAACAGTAAGTTAATGAGAGAAGCAGCTGGTGGAATTGGATAGGATTCTCAGAGGGCCTTTGCTGAAGAACAGCCCCCCAAAGGCAGAAGATTTAAAAAGAGTTCTGCTTCTAGGAATATCTGGGGTCCTAAGCAGCTGCTAATCCAGTAGCTTCAGCTTATCTTGCTACAGTGTTCAGTTATGGTGAGCATCCAAAGCTCCCACTTAACCAAGTCCAGTGATGACTTTAACAGCTTAGTTTGTAACTTTATTCTTTTTGTAATTTCTTCTTATAAAAGTTTTATATTCTTCCTGACCAGAGTTATTTCTTGGGCTCAAGGCAGTATGATTCAATGGACAGAGCCAACTAAACCTGCAAAAGACATTTATCTGCTGTCTGCCGGGTGCAAAAGAATGCATTTGCTAGCAGCAGGTGTATTTGAAGACTAAATTGTGACTGCTGAATTCTTTCTGTTTCTTGGACATTTTGAATCCAATTTTAAACCCCGTCTAAATCGTTTGGCTCTGTGGTACCAAAGTCCTTCTTAGTTATCAGAAACTCAGTGGATCCCATGAGTTTGCCTCAACTGCACTGTGTTTGGAATTATTTTAAAAGAGGCACACCTTTATTTAAGATTTAAGACTTGGATGGATCAAAGATATTCCATAAAAGTACTCAAAATACCAGCAAAAGCTGGATACTTCTTGAGTGCCTTTTATATATGACAAGCAATGCTCCTAGCACTTTACACATATTAACTTCTCTAAGCTCAAAGAGAAGAACCTCAGGAACTAGGTACTGCCATCATCCCACTGTCAAGTGGAGAAACTGAGGTTAGGGAAGTCACTCCAAAGCTGAAGAGCTAAAATGCCCCTTAATTTGCTTTTCTTATTTTATAGTGTAAAGATGTGTATGCCTTATATTTTGTATGTTGTATTTCAAATTATATATCAATATTCCAAGTTCTTGGTAAACTCATAATACTGGCTACAAAAGAGGGACAACTTTTAAACAAGTTACATTTTCAAATGCACATGTATTATCCTGCCAACTACCAATACATACATGTATATATAGGCATCTGTACTTATATCAATATGTAAACACACTTAGGAATTGTCAACAAGATTTCTTTGGTAGTTCCAGGGCATTCTAGGAAATTGAATTGGGGCAGGCAGGAGAGAGGGAAGGGGTGTTTTGTTTTTTCTTTTGTGATTGTTCCATCGCTGCTATGATGTAGCAATGAAATGTTTTGAGCACACAATATCTCTCTGTTGGTTAGTAAGTCATAAAATATCCAGTAAGAAAGCCTCGGCTGTCATCACTAGCTGTATAAAAATTCATGAAACGGCCAAGTTGTTTTTACTTTTGACTGACATCTTATGTTTTGCTAGCATAACTTTATCTTGTGCTGGTCATATTCTCTGATTAGTTTTTTTCATATGCCTTTAATTAAATGATATGAGAAAACAATTGCATATAATAAAAGCAGTCTGGAAGACTGAACATTTCAAAATATAGGCTCCACAGACAATAACAATTATAATCAAAATAATGCTATCTCCTTTTTAAATGGAATTTTCATGTACCTTCTAATAAATCTCATTCAAATTTAAAATTGTGATTTTTAGTAGTAAAACCTGACCTCATTAAAGGAGTGAGATTTAAGCAAGTTTAATAAAATGCCAAATTGGTTATTTTTACAATAGCATGAAAGGAAACCGAACTCTGAACTTCAATGAAAAGATTTTGTTCTTGATCTGTCATCTTTACGAGCAAGCATGCTGCCTCTTTATTCGCCTGTTGCCTTCAATAAAACAGCGCAGCTTCATGTACTCCCTGCTTCATCCAGGCCATACAGCACTGGAAGAAAAACCACTATTAAATGAAGCTCCTCACAGGGACTCCAGGGGATTGACAGTCATCTCCTCATCCTTGGTGAACACCCAAAACCCAGGATAGTGCCAAACCCTGCAAACACCATTTCCCCTCTACACACTCACTATGATAAAGAACAAAAACTTTCAGTAAAGATAAATTTCATCACAGTGTGCCATTTAAAACTTACAGATTATCTATTTCTGAAATATTCCATTTAGTATTTTTAGACTACATATGATGGCTAGTGACTAAAACCCAGGAAGTGAAATGACAAAGGACTGGTCCATTCCGCAGATGAGGACGTGGAGAACTGAAGAGATTGATGTAGCTTGCTCAAAGCTACACAGCTGGGGTGGGGGAAGGGCAGGTCCAGGACTTGGACCGAGACAGGCTGACTATAGAGTCCAAGCTCTTGTTCCCTTCTGTCAACAAGATTCCTCCAGCTTTGATTCAAGTTAATAGGCATTTATCTTTCTTGCTTCCCAACTTGCATGCCCACTTTCCAGTCAGGCAATTACTCTCATCACTGGAACCCTTTCTACGTGATGGATAATTGTCCCACTTCCCTACTGCTGTGTAACAAACCACTCCACACTTGAGTGGCTTAAATGCAGGCATAGTTTTAGTTGCTCATGAGTTTGTAGGGCAGCATCTAGCTCCGGGCTCAGTTGGGCGGGTTCTTCTGTTCATCTCTCCTTAAATTATTCATGTATTTAAGCCCTCTGTTGTTATAATGGGGATGAGGTAGTGTTAATGACCTCATTCATAAGTTTGATGGCTGTTGCTTATTATCGCCCACCTGTTTTCTCCACATACCTTCTCACTTTTATCTCCGCACGGTAGGCCCAGAGCAGCAAACAAATGAAAGCAGGTGTAAGACCCCTTAACAATCTTTCACATCTTGGGATCAGCTTTGATTCTCAGGGACAGGATACAGTTTCTGGTTCTAGCTGGGGGAGCCACCAAGTTACATTAGAAAGGCCTGTGTGAATCTTAAGGAATTCTTGCAAATACAATCTTGATCTTTTGTTTTATGGGTTTTGTAAATGTCTTGGTCAACTTGCTTAGTTTGTGCTACTTTTGGCCATGTAGTAGCTGGCTATCTTAAATGTATTCAATTCCCAATCTTTTCCCTAATGGCCTTTTGTTAAGGATTATAAAAATCTTTAAAATACATTCTGTTCAAATATGTTTATAGCTAAACTGTTCTAGAACAGCAGTCTACTTTGAAGTTATTTCTGGATTTTAAATACATAACTATTTTTTTTTTTGCCCAAGAGAATAACCAGTTGTCTTGTCAAACTTGTTAAATGCTCTACTTTGTCATATATTAAGCTTTTCACATATGTAAGTCTGTTTTGTCACGCATCTATTCATGTACATTTATTACTGTGTTTTGTGTAATGTAGTTATGTAATATGTTCGAACAGGATTAATATTCTGTTTTGTTTTGAATATATGGGTCAGTAACATAACTCAGCAGGTAAAGGCTTTTGTCACCAAGCACAAGGATCTCTGAGGATATTAGTTCACCTCAGAGACTCACATTTTGGAAGATGAAAACCATCTCTCCATA